TACACCACTGGGTGCAAGCAAAGATAAAATGCCTGATGAATGCCACAATAATAATACGTTTTTATGCACATTCCATTGTTTTGAAAGTATGACCAGAACGTCTAAAAATAAAGATTGTAAAAAAAAAAAAAAGATTCAATAGAATGGAAGGACATGTTTTGCCGGATCATAGACTATGGAGTTCTAGCAATAACTACTGATGAATTGTCCTAAGTTGTCAGCCGTTTTGCAAAACGTAGGCCGAAAGAGCCTGAATGGGGAATTCTTAAGGTCAAAATGGCATAGCAATCTACACAGCACAGTAGCCAGGCAAACCTCAATATGCTGACCGCATCAGAAGAGACCTTTTGCAAATCTGCTGGGAGATAAGGTGCTGCATGGGTATATTTGTTTTGCACTGTGCATGCTGATTATCTCAGCCATTTGTTTAACTTGTTCCCTACACACAAGATTAATGTGTCACTTTTCTCAGGACAAGAACCCATTGTCTCTATAGCATCAGAGCTTTAATTAATAATGACACAATTTCATAATGATAGATTATGACAAAATTAAAAGTAACACTTATTTGCATGTATCATTAAAAGTGGGGAGTTAGGTTACTTTTACTCATAGATTTTAATGAGTGATTTCCTGCGTAGGGTAACCTGTGCGTTAGAATCGATTATTTCCCATCACAGTGACCAATGGTTTAACAAAAGACAGGATATCAGATAATGTAAGATTTAGCTTGGCACGTCCTTGCATTGTGCTTGACTTCGGGCATTACGATGATATTCTTGCTTAACCTGTTTTCTGTTTGTGGTGTAAATGGAAGACAGGCATTTGTATGAACAAGGGATCAAAGAGACAGGTTAAATAGGAAGGCGTTCTGAAAGGGACTGTTATATATTGATGCACATAATTGTTATTCACCAGTCTGGACAAATAAAAAAGGCAACCATCCAGAAACTCAGCATTTTTTGGTAATATGATGATACCTTTTTGTCGTAGTTTGAGAAACTTCAAAAGAACACAAATGCAAACAACAAGGGTTAAACACTTTGAGATTGATTTGCTAATTGGTATAAATACTTGTGTACATGTATATTCATTGCTGTCAGTCTCAAACTTATAACAGCACGAAATACTAGCCTGATGCAGCTGGGAGCTAAGAGATTTAATAACACCTAGCGAGAGATGTATTAAACAGGGACGATTTCACAATCTCTTATTCCCAAGAGAGAAACATGTTCTGTTTTGTTTAGTATATAAGTTATTTTACAGAACACTGGTCACAAAAGTGCGTATTGCTGCTATATCTTTGTAAGGGGTCCGCGGGCGGCTAGGAGGGGAGGCTGCATGTCACTTGCAGCACTCACCCTCAGTCCATCGCCGCCCGCGGTCTCCCCTCCTCTTACCTGTCGGCGAGCGGCGGAGAGGAGGGGAGGTCCTTCACGCCTCCCAGCAGCAGCATGTATAACGCTGCACGCTGGGAGGTCGCTGAAATAGTACCACAATCACAGTGGGAGGCATAGATATCCCCCACGTGTGATTGTTAATTCTGATTGGAAGTTATCCAATCAGAATTAAACCAAGGGTATTTATACTTACCTTTCCTGTCCCTCAGTGCCCTGTTGTGGTCTTGTGATACCTGTAGTGCTGTTCTCTCGTGTTGCTCTCTGGTTTCAGATTATTTGGCTCGTTATTCCGATTATCCTGTCTTCTCCACTCCTTTGACCTCGGCTTGTTTCTCGTTCTCCCATTTTCTGGCTCCCTTTACTTGGCTTGTCTCCTGACCATTCTTAGTGTGCTTAGCCCGGCCACTCTAAGGACCGGTATAGCACCCTTCCTCTCTGTGACCTGTTAGCGTGTTAGGTTCCGGAATCATGACAATCTTTCTATACTGGGTATCTGCTATTTAAGACATTGGTAGGGATAAAATGACCATCTCTGGCTTTTCTTAGTCCCTAAATAAAGGGCACTTATTAAAAAAAATGCACACGTCAGTGTTACATTGGGTGAAACCATCCCGTCTAAATTTGACCCTAAAGTATGTGTATTTTAAACAAAAATGTGTTGATTTGTTGTTTTCCCACTGATGAAGAGTCTGTGCTGGGGTAGGAGACAGAGAGATAGCATGCATGAAGGGATGGAACAATATGAGAAGCCATCACTTCCTATATGATATATCCATTAGACCCAGTCTCGTAAATAGAGAAAAAAAAATATTTCTCACAGGTAAGAATAAAATAGGTTGCAGTTCTGCAGTGGTACTAAAATTGGGTCAGTCGGTATAAAATACAAACTTTGGATTTACTGCTTTGTACTAAAATAGCTTTCTAGTTACAAATACTTCTTTTGACACATTTAATATTATGATTAAAAAAGCCAAATTCACTAAAGTTAGAATTCCAAGTGAATTTCAAACTCAAAGCCAGTGTAGCCAAACTGAAAACAAAGCTTTTTCCATAAAACTCAACTTTGACTTTGAAAGTGTTATCCTACAGAGCATTCCCTAAGGTGCTAGTTATAAAGCGACAACAAATTCCATAGCACTGTACAATAGGTGGACTAACAGACATGTAAATGTAACAAAACAAGCTGAATGCACAGGAACAGAGGGTTCTGAGGGCCCTGCTCAAACAAGCTTACATTCTAGAGGAAGTGGGCTAAAGTGGGCACAAGAGGTAAGTGTAGGATGTGTTTTGTGTACATAAAAAGTAGGTCACTAGAATAGATACATTAAAGAGTTAGTTTATCCAATGACACAATTGCAGGAAAGGAAGCAGGGTGGGTTACCAATGTGCGGGTAGGGAAAGCTATTAACAGTTTAATTGATATGCTTTCTTAAAGAAGTGAGCTTTTAATGATCTTTTGAAGGAACTGAGACTGGGAGGGAGTCTAACAGAGCAAGTAAGGGAGTTCCATAGGGACGGTGCAGCCTTAGAAATGTCTCGGAGGTGGTTGTCTAAGGTGCGAGTAGGAACAGAGAATAGACACAGATCTTCGGCAGAGTGTAGAGGCCTGGACGGGACATACTTGTGTATCAATGAGGATAGGTAGGTAGGAGCAGCATTGTGCAGCAAGTTGTAAGCAAGCACCAGAATTTAAAATTTAGCCCTTTATCTTATGGGAAGCCAATGTGAGGACTGACAGAGAGGAGACATGGGAGGTGCGGGTAGACAGGAAGATGAACCTCGCCGCCGCATTTATTATGGACTGTAACGGGGCCAGTTAGGAACTCGTAAGACCACTGAGAAATGAGTTGCAGCAATCACCTTGACTGAGATCTCACCTTGATCTCTCAGTCATGGTGAGAGATGATAGCAACATGGACATGCAGCTTGGCTGCATCCAGCGTTAGATAGGGGCAGATGCCAGCAATGTTTTTGAGATACGAGCAGCAGGTTTTGGCAAGTGACTGGACTTGAGGTGTAAGGTAGAGGTTTAATTAGGAGAGAATGCCAAGGCAGCGAGTCTGCAAGGTAGAACTTATAGTAGTGCCATTGACTTGGAGGGGGACAGTCATGGAAGTAGCAACACTTAAAGAAGGAAAGACTAGAAGCTCTGTTTTGGACAGAGGCCAGATATCAGACAGATAGATTTGTGTGTCATCCACATATATATGGTATTGGAAAGATAAAAAGAGCTGATGGGTTTACCAAGGGAGGTAGTATAGATTGAGAACAGTAGTGTACAAAGGACAGAACCCCTCAGGAGCACCAACAGAGAGGGGTTGCAGAGAAGAGGAAGAGCCAGAAAAAGAAACACTAAAAGAGCGCTGCTTGAGGTAGGAGGAGAGCCAGGAAAGCACTGAGGTCTTGTAGACCAAGGTTACGGAGGATGAGAAGAAGTTGTTGATGATCAAGAATGTTGAAAGCAGCAGAAAGGTCAAGGAGAATTAAGAGAAAGTATTGACCACTGGATTTCAACAGCAGCATGGCTATATACTCTACTTAGTAGATCATAGTGATTGTCTGTAATGTGTAATATCTGTATGGAACATGTATTTATAAAATGGCATGCTACTGAATCCCAACTGATTTCTCAAAGCCTTCTAAAATCCTTGTTACCATGCATGTTTAATTTGAAAGGTCACCAGTTTGTTATTTGCTCTGTGCAGTTTGATTTTGTTTTGAAAGTATGCATTGTTTCCCCTTTTCATGTGGGCACTCAGTTCTCATGTCATTTATCTTGTCAAAGTTACATCAGGTTACACTTCAACTATCTGGAAATCAGGTTCCGTTCATTGATGTACCATAGCAGTCAGTAATTTTTAATATGTTCCTGGGGAGCTCGATCTTAGTTTTATTATAACAGGTTGTTACCCGTGCAAGCAGCAATGTTGGTGATTAAAACAGTCCAAAACAGGCCTTCACTGATGTTTTGATGTATCATGATGGTCCATAAATACCTTCCTGAATCCCGGACACATGATATCTCAAATATTTTACAATATACATTTGTCATTCATGCTAGATGCTACATCTCAATTGATCACTCTGAGAGGTCAAAGTGGTATTTATAGTGGTATGTCAGAATAAGGAAGGTGGCACATGTCTCAGAAGATTAGATTAATGGCAGTCTGACGGGTTGCATATAGAAATAATTGGCACACCCTTCTTCCCAAGGTTTCTGCTTTTGAAAAGTGTGAGTTAGTTTGATTTCCCTTATGACTCAAGCCTTAAAAGCCTTCATTATTATTATTATCGCTGCCATTTATAAAGCTCCAATATATTCCGCAGCACGATGTGGAAAAAGTGCAATATAAACAGATCAATACGAAAGGTAAAGAGGGCACTGCCAGTGAGCTGAGATCTAGCCACAGGATATACTGGTTATAGCTGGGAGGTTTGTTATTGTGAATTATAAAGAGAGTGCATTTGGTAATGCCAGCACAATATTTATACAAAAATAGACGATAATTGATTATTATTCAATAATGTAAGTGACTAGAAACCCTATTAAAATCATTACACATGAAATAATGTGAACATTGCAATTCACATCTGAATATTCCTGACCGTTATTCACATTGTCTTTCATGCGAACACATGTTTTTTGTGCTTCAAGTTTTGACATGAGAAATGTTAATGTCATGTCAATAGAGTTCTAAGCAGTCCTGTTCACCATTACGAAATCAATTATTCATGGACAAATGGCACATAATGAGGGAATTATCTGGACAGCAGGATTCTTGTGATCACAGCAGAATAAATACACATTTCCCTAGAAAACAATCTTTATAGAGTGCCCTAGATTCCCCCGCATTACGCATTCTTATAAAGACAGACAACATATTGCATTAACTAATAAAGACAAACTATAATGTGCAGTGATTGTAGTCACAGAACTGGCAATCTGTGTACAGATCATTAAAGGCTAGCAAAGGGTCAGAACCAGGAATCCCGATTCTAGAACAGAGCCACAGCTGGAGCAGTTTCTAAATGACGTTTTACAAATATTTCTATATCTAATAATGATAGGCTATTATTATTATTATCATTATTATATTGGAGATAATACTGGTTAACCCGTGATAAACTTTGGTTCATATTCTATATACATTTCACATGATGAATTATAAATTCCAACGACTTTCGTTCTTACAGTATTGAATAAAGAACCTCCAGAGAGAACATGCTCACAAAAGGAGGAACATGATATAACAATGCCCAGTAACATTACATAAATACAGAGGATCAAGAAAGAATCTCTATGATATATGATTGCATTAATTTATTCATACGTTCTAGATCCTGGATACATTTATTCCTTCAGTGAGATTTCCTAAGCTAGATAGAGTGATCTGTATTAAATGTATACTCGGCTTATTTTTGTTCACATAGACAGTAGCATTTTGCTTAGCATTTAAATGTGTTATTTAGCAATTTATAGGTCACTAGTAACGTCCCCAAAAAATGAAGATGTGTTAATGCGTATCCAGGGTTAGAAATGTTTGTATTTTGCATGATAAAATATTCTAAAATAGATCAGTTTGTTTAGCATTGAATCCTTTGCATGTAACAATAGCGACAGGGGATTGTCTAAGTAACAGTGCACTTCGAATCTTGCCCACAAATCAAAGTGCTTTGGATATATGCATCACTAGTGTTCAATAAAACAACAGCAGGAAGAAAATATTAAGAAGGTTTTAACGAACTTGCCAGCTCGTGCATGACTTTGTTGTAACCAGGGTGACCAAGATGGGTAGAAGCTTATCCTTGATAAATGGGGTCATTTGAATAAATTAGCAGAAGGAGTCTAAGCAAGCATAGCTTTGCTCTCTGACGTGCATTGCTAAGATACAGAATAAACTCCCTAACAACTTTTCTGCTAGTCAGCAATCTACCTCGGAAAATATGAATGGTGCTGTTTTAAATACCTCTGCTATGTTTTCAAAACATTCCCTCCGGTAAATTACTTTAATTTACATCGTTCAGATAAAGGGAAATAAACATAATTTCAACGACAAAGTAGACATACACCTTCTATTCGAGAGCATATTATTTGTTGTTTATCTATGTAAGAAGTAGGTCAAAGTAGGCCATCCACCATTTGTGTTTTGCCCTGGTTGTAGGTATAATGGCAAATATGTTTCAAAACTGGATTGGACATTTTTAAAGCTCTTGTTATGCTGGGAAGAACAGACAAATAGAGTATCCACAGTGCGTTGTCTATAATATTTGTAAATAAGGTCAAGTCATATACTCTTTAAAATGTAGTGCAATATCATTTGAAATATGTGCCCTCCCAAAACACCCCCATAGGATCAACTCAAATTTTTTTATTTTTTTTAAATGGCTACGGCAGTGTGAGATCAGTTTAATGCCCAGTGCATAAAAGTGTGTTTTTGATATGTTGTAGTGGAATGTGGAATGTACTCAACCCCCTTACCCACTTACCTGTACAGTCCCCCATAAATAGGGCACCTCTAGTTGCCTGACACTGACTTATAAAACCTAAAAGGAATGCTAATATGGCTACAAATTGGCATTTAGCAAAAGCTGAATGAAAAAAAAAAATGAATTATCCTATTAAAGGGACTCTCCAGTGGTCCCATCTCCCTCCCATCCCCCATCCCAGGTTGCTGAAGGAGTTAAAACCCCTTCAGTGACTTACCTGTTTCCAGCGCCGATGTCCCTCGGCGCTGGTTCAGGGTCCGCCCACGCTCCTCCCCCGCCGACGTCATGCGGTGGGGGAGACCTATTGCGCATGCACGACCGCCGGCGGGGGAGACCTAACGCGAATGTGCGGCAATGCCACGCACGCGCATTAGACCTCCCCATAGGAAAACCATTGAAAATACCTTCAATGCTTTCCTATGGGGATTTCAGCGACGCTGGAGGTCCTCACATAGCGTGAGGATGTATAGCGACGCTGTGCTATAAAATCTGTGCTATAAACCCTGAAGTGCCCTCTAGTGGCTGTCTAGTAGACAGCCACTAGAGGAGGAGTTAACCCTGCAATGTAAATATTGCAGTTTATGAAAACTGCAATATTTACAGCTGCAGGGTTAAGGGTAGTGGGAGTTGGCACCCAGACCACTCCAATGGGCAGAAGTGGTTTGGGTGCCTGGAGTGTCCCTTTAAAGAGTGAGTACATACGTAAGATATACTACTGGTTTGGGATCAATTAGCAAGTATATTTTGGTGGTGAAGTGATGAAGTGATCTGTATTTAATCGAATAAGAAATTAATCATATGTCTCAATGCAAACCTGAAAAATTTGTTGGTACACTCCAACACATCAAATACAGCCTCTCCAAGAAGGAACAATACAGGGTGGAGTGCAGTCATTTTAATACAGTTGATATATTATATATTATGTACACATACGCATACGCATACTCTCACACACACATGCTTATACATCTGAATGACAACAATTATTTATATAGAGACAGCGCCAACATATTCCACAGTGCTGTACAATAGGCAAACAAACATGTAATTCTAAGAAAACACATATGATATATAGGAACAGTAAGTGAAGAGGGCTCTGCCCAAACAAGTTTATAGATGCATAGTGGTGATTTCAACCAGATTGTTTAACTAGTAGTAATATAAAAGGGAATATCGGCACATACCAAGATTCCTGTCACATTTAGTCATGTATTAGCTTAATAAACACAATGTAAAGTGTTTAATAGTTTTTTTTTTTATTTCACTTAAAATGACATGGAGTGGATGAAGTTTTGTAATTTATGTCAAGAATCTCAATTGCCTCCAAGCTACTTGAATTTGTACTTGTCAGCCCCCAATTATCTTTTAACGTAGAGCATCTGAAATCAATAAAATAGAGGGTTTTTACACTAAACAGCGACTGGGTTGTTTACTAAGCTCCAAGTTTAAAACTGAACTCCAGATTTAGGGTACTTCAGTCCATCTGAATGCTGTTGAATATGTTGAAGGGAAACTATAGTGCCAGGACAATAGAGTTATTTGTACCCCTACTCCCTCCAACTCCCCCCCAATCATGGTGCAGAAGGGGTTAAAAAAACCTTCTATCACATACCTGATTTCAGCGCCTATGTTCCTCGACGCTGGTTTAGGTGCCGCCTTCGCTCCTCCTCCGCTGACATCAGCCGCGGTGCCCTAATGCGCATGCGCTCGAATTAGGACTTCCTCCACAGGAAACCATTGTATAATGCTTTCTTATGGGGTTTTGGGTGACGCTGGATGTCCTCATGCATAGGACACTGGGACACTGCACCCAGACCACTTCAATGAGCTGAAGTTGTCTGGGTGGCTATAGTTTCAGTCTAAGGCTTTATACAGACTAAATAATATTAATATTCTGCTGATTATCTTATTCAAGTTAGTTGACAATGCTTCCTATATACTCTCCAAGTGTACATGGGATGTGTTTATGTTCATTTTGGTTGATAAACAAGCCAAATTACCATGAGAACTCAAACAATTAGACCATGTTACAATCACTAACAATGAATTAATTGCTATTCAGTGTTTACTAACCCGTCTTTTTCATACATGTATTGAAAGATGAGATTGAAGTCAACACAAACTCACTCAATGTCTATTGTACAGTTGACCGTCCTGCTGCGATGTGAATTGCTGGGTTTACTCCCTGACTGTTACAGTGTATCTTGGGACAAAGCTCCCCACCACTGACTCCTATGGTGCTGAGTCAAAACTCCAGCAAAACACAGCACAGAGAGCGGGCCTAGAGGTGCTGATGAAGGTAGTATAGGTCTTATTTAATTATTTATATATTTATTTAGTCGTTCATTTATATCACTATTTTATAATTGGCACGACTTTTACTTTATAAAATAAGCTTTCACCACAGGGCACAAAAAAAAAATTCCATTTCATTTTCAGTACAGATTGTGTTTATTCGTTTTTTTGTTTTTTTTTAAATTGCTTTAACTAACATGCAGGGATTTCATACACAAGCTATTATCGTAGCTAGTTATTATAGAAAATGAGTGTAATTTGTGCTGGTATGTTTCCTTCTTGGAGTTATGTCTTTCTCTTGCCTACAGCCCTTAAATCGCCCTTCCCTAAACACTGACCTCACTTTGTTTGGATACAGAATTTAACCACAATTCTTTAACCGCTTACCTCCCAGGTACTCGTCTGCCTTAGGCTCACAGATAAAAGGAGATTCAATGCTATCGTATTACCTCTTCTAGGCGTTTGAATCTCTTATTACAGATGAAGAAAAACAAGTATATATTTTTGAAATCTAGGACGTATAACAAATTGTGACCTAGTTATAATTTGTATCACACAAAAGTAATTTCCTGTGCAAGATATGTCTAATTACCAGGGGGTAGCAATCCAAGATTAAATATATTTAAATAACCGTGGGAAGGTGAGATCACTGTGTCTTCATTTCTTTTATATGTATTTGCCGTATTGTAACATGTAAAACAAAATTGCAGAAAAATGCCAGATGGAAAGATAGTATGGGATTTTTTTTCTAATCCATCTACTTAGGCATTCTGCTTGCAATTTGCCAATTATTCATCCAAAATTCAGTTTAGGTTATAACCTAGTACATTTTGTGGAGATTTACTTCAGCAAAGCAACTACCTGTCTAAAAAAATAGTGGACACAAAGGTGGTATAGTCCTAGTTTTTATCTAACCGTTCTACTTGTTCGTTGGCCCTTCGTGATATAGTTCAAGGGAGGACCATATATTTTTTGCCGCCACTAAACATAGCCAGTAACAGTTATACAGAATATGCTAAGTGATTTGCCCCCTTTCAAAATAATTTGCACCCCCA